GGATAAATGTATATCAAATAATTAAGCTTACATTGGATCAATCATCTGAATCCTAAGTAGTACATCAAGTAGTCTGAGATCTCCTAAACCAATTAATATCTTTTTCCAGGCTTTCTGCCTCTCGCCTATCTGGATGAAAGTAGTATTCTTTGCCGCCCGAGCCTTCGCTTCGGCAGGCGAAAATTCGGTCAACATCTTCATCACCGACGTCTTTGGGCCCAGCATCAGAAGCCTTACCTACGGCATGTTGTGCGCCGTCTACCGGATCGGCGTAATCGCCGCCCCCTACCTCGGTCAAGTCTACCTACATAGAGTATCAGACCTGGGTGCCGTGCTCATCTTCTCTGGCATCGCATTCCTCGGCACTTTGATCAGTCTGTTGCTACCGCTCGAACAGATGTCAATGAGCACACGAGAAATGTCCACTTCGAGGCCAGGCCACAGAAAGCAGATTTTCAGAAACATATTCAAGCCTCGTTCTCCGGTCAGCGCTGAAGTGGCGGCAGCTGTGGCAGCTGGAGAATCGGTATGTTCCCCTTAACTTCAATGGCAGACCTTTGGCACTATTTTGTTGCTAATGCTTATGTATTTTTGAAGCTCATAGAGATTTCGATACTGAGCAATGCCGGTGAGAATATGCAGTTCACATTAGTTTTGACCGATGGTTAAATAGTTCATGCTTTAATCAGGAAATTTGAGTCATTATTTAAGCCCATTTGTAGTATTTTCCTGCTCAAGCTTAAGGTATCTGCTTGAAACGTAGTTCTCCTACGCGTTAGTCTGCATTATGAAGGCTACATGAGATCATGAACCCGTTAAGATGTTATCTACGGACCTGGGCTGCGTAAGAACTTAATTCAATATGGGTCACTTTATACGAATTAAGGAGTCATGACAAATACTATAGCAGACGACTTCGAACTAGGTGGGTTTTACTAAGTCCCCCTGACAACAATACAAGTTGCGACAACGAGGTCAACTAACTTCTATAAATCGAAAGGAGACTGCGACCATACCAGAGGCCACAACATCTTGGTCTTCATATCTTTAATAAAACTACGGTAGTAAAATTGCCAAACAATGCACTAAATACAGCCGGACAAAGAAGATAATTGTAAGTCAATCTTTCCATCTGACATTTTTAATCTGTTGTAAACGTTATGGTATCACTCCTAAGTTATATGACCTTAAGAGACCCTACCACTAGGATAAGGTTAATAAGTATGTCCACCAAGCTTATATTAAGAAACTAAGTAAGAACGATGATACAGAACGGGATAAGTTGTTACGTTTATAGATATTAAGTCAAATCTCCGGCGTGATCTGGCTAGGATCATGTCTCCGGGAGATTTTCAAAAATTTCAGAGCATGCCCGACAGGAAATCACGTAGAATTTCTGACTTAATAACAAAACGGCATGATGATAAATTACTTAAATAGAAGTTGTTTGACCTTGTTTTCGCAAATTGGTCATATTGGTAGGAAGTCTTAGAA